GATGGTCTTCGTTGCAACGTCAGCGTCTCCCCTTGTTACTGCAAACACGATTCGCAGTTTGATTGTTCGAGCGTATAGTCGTGTTGTCGGAATCGATGTATTCTTTGCGAGAATTTTCGGTTGCGTATCGTCGTTCCGTCGTTTCGTCGCGTGTTTTGACTAAGTGTTGTGACAGTGTGTTGCAGTATATTGTTTTCTGCTGCGAGCAATTGCTGCCGGTGTAATTGGGTGTTCCGTCGTTCGTCGCGTTGTCGATCGTTTCGTCGCAGTACAGTAGTACATTTTTTGCCGCTGCGAACAATTGCTGTTGCTGTGTTTTGGGAATTCCGTTGTCGGTCGTGTGTAGTAGTATATTATTTGCCGCTGCGAACAGTTGCTGCTACTGCGCTTTGGGTGACCTTGAACTTTAGGTGCATTATTCGTTATTCGGGCGTTTTTTGTTGGGCGTCATATAATAGCGTTGTTTTTCCGCTGCAGGCAATTGCTTCTATTGTGATTCGTCGTGGTAGATCGTTTTTGTTTTGATTGCCCAAAGGACCCAGTGCCTTGTGCTGCTGAGGTATTTTCGACGTCGCGAGTCGGTCGATTTTTTTACGTGTAAATTGGTGTTTCGATTACGGTTCTTTTGTTGGTTGTGTGTTTCGCTAGTGTTGTGTATTTTTGTAGTACTAGTGACGGCAATACCGAAAAATTTTCGGCATTATTTCGGGACCGGTCTTCGGGACTGAAGTATATTTTCGTTAGTTCGGGATTTCGGAGGATGTTTGAAATTTGGATTTTTTTGGGATATTCTAGTTTAAGGCATTTTAGGGCGTTCTAAGGTGTTTAAACTGCTTTTTGCGTGTTTTTGGACGCTGCAGCACCGTATATTGCACAAAATATAAAATTCTCCTCATGAAACACACTGCGCAAAGTTGCCTAATTGCCCAAATATGAAACTTGCGCGCATAGATGAGTACCCTTATTGTAATAAGCCTGTTCAAATTTTTATCGTATAAAGTTCTTTTGCTTTACGCGTTGCTTTCCGAGAAATATATATAACATTCAACNGACAAAAGGCGTCCTTTATTTTGAAAAAAATTATAAAGGACAGCGGGTTAAAATAAAGGACTGTAATTTTAAAATAATGGACGGATGGTCACCGTACCTATGCCTAACACCATCTACGAATATCAAAATGCATGTGCGGAGTTTAAATAATCGGAAGTAATAATCAATTGTAGCACATTACCTCTTACTATGCATATGCCTAAATGTATACAACCATTTGGCAAGCAAACACAGGGTGCTTCTAAGAAAAATAAAAATTTTATGCTGAAATACACATGCTAAGCCCTTCGAAATTTTGTTCTGGGATATGCGTTACAGCTTCGCAAATTTTACCCCTACCGAAACCAAAGATGTATACACATCAAAAACATAATCATGTTTAAAGTACATCCATCTTTTGTATTCATGTTTTAAATAAAGTTTATAAAAAAAAACTACAAATGAATGATGTAACTTTTTTTAGGTACAATCTGTCTCAGTTAGGTACATATATTTTATGATATTAGGTACAATCTGAAATTTCCATTTTTCATCCCTGGTGGTTAGTGCGTCCATTCCGTACTTTCAATTGGTACCGAGATGATTGCATTTCGGGGCGCTGATCTTCGCATTGATTTGATTCGTTGAGCTTTAGGGGCTCCGTGGAGATTGGACTGCATTATTGCGGGAGGTACCCACGTTAAACCCAAAACACAGTTTTTACTGAAAACAGCTGTGTGATATGTTCCGGCTAGACAATTGGTACAATAACAGTGTATGAATACCGCACGTAAGCGTTCCTCAGGTGCTTGGGAACGAAAACTAGAGCACAATCTGAGAGGATGCTTGTTGCCGCAAAGCCTGCCCGTCAATGGATACCGAATCGGTCCGGACTCGGCTCGTTTGCGCATTGCAGTGAAGCGGGTAATTTTCCTAAAATTACGATTTTCACCCCGCATCCTAATTAAAATGTGTCAAAAAAAAAGAATGTGATGGCGAGCAATATTGCATCTCTAATGTAGGCATCCAAAAATCTTTGCATTTGGTATTTTAACTTTCAATTTAAATACATAGTTGATCGCAACCAATTTACCGGAGTGAACATAACGTAATTACTCGTTTTAAATGTTGTCTGTGTCACCGTGGGTTATATATCAATGGTGGTTGTCGATCACTCGAGGTTTTCACCATCAAGCTTTGAGAATATTTGCCTTCCGAATAGCTCAAAAGCTTGTGCTCAATTTCAAATGGTTTGGCTTGCATACATACTGTGAGCAAGTTGGAGGCGTAATTTTGAATTTATTTAAGAGTTAATATTACTGAGCTGAGTGGCTAGGAGTTAGAAGTGCTTTATTTAATTTCTCGTTTAGTAATAAGACCAACTCTTAAACTTAACAATTTGAGTAATAAAGCAAAATAGTGCACATATGTAGGTAGTCACCCAATTACATTTGACAAAAAGTAGTACATGAACAAATAAAATGGACGGATTTGTAAGTATACAATTTTGAAAGTGCCCAGCGTCGCGGCGGTTCACGTTGGCGCGCCGCCCCGCGCCGCGTTCGACATCGCGCTCGCGCTCGCGTACCGCACCCCCTCCCCTCCTTTCGTAATTATGCACTAGTGGCATTATAACCTTTTAGAAAAAAGAAATATAATAAAATAACACTAGTTCACTTCTGAAACTGCTTTTCAATGTCCAAGTAATGGGAATTGTTGTGTATGGTGTTACTGCATGCTGCATGCATCCCTCCCATAGTGAAGTTTACCAGGCGCCACTGCTTTATTTGAAAATTTGCCTATAAAATGTGACTATAAGGCAGCCGAATATCAGAAAATAAAGCGAGAAAGCAGTTTTATTACTTCATCTGTTTATTGCGACATCGTTCCCAGTAAACATTTAAGGTTTTCCAGCAATGTTTTTAACATATTAAAAAGCATGCAGATAAAATTCATACAAAAGCGCTATGTCCAATATGCCAAGCAGTTATTAAAGACGATGCTTTCCCTATATTTTGTTAGACTTTTCATAAGTAAAAATATTTTGTGAATATTACTTTCTTCATATGAATTATATCACATTTTTTGTTTAATTCAAGGCCTATCAAACAGGTTTAGAGCATTTGAGCAAAAACAACATTTGCCTGTATTTTTTTGTTGCTTCTGGTATCGAAAGTGTCACAAACTGTTCTGATTTTTTTCTTCTACATCAAAGCGTACCATGTGAAATACAAAAAAAGAAAAAAAATTTAAATTGAAAAAATTAAAATTGTTGCAACTTTCTTTCTTAGTAAACTGGTTTGCTTCTCGAAGCATTGATCCATCCTGTGCCAGGCCCAGTAATCAGCGGTTGTGCTGCTGAGGTGGGCGAGCGTTCCAAAAGCTGCTATTCAATCGCTGGTTTTTTATGGAAAAAGGTTTCACATACAAATAGACTTTAACAATTTAAAATTTTTGTGAGAAGCAATTAAAAATATTTGACATTTGAAATCAGCTGCTATACTGATACTACCTGTTCAATGTGCCTTGGTTTAATTGTATTGTTGGAATAAACAAAGTTCTTTTTCCTTCTGTCAGTAAACTGTTTTTTTGTTTGTTTTTTTACAAATAGTATAAATAAGCAATGGAAAATAAGGCAAAATTTGTTTTATTTCCAACCTTTGTTGGAAATAAAGCAAAACTCAGATTTTGGTATTATTTCCCATTTAAAAGGGAAATAAAGCAAATTTTGCGTTATTGCCGATTGTGTTATGTCGTCGTAATACGTCGGCTCACCTGATCAGTGTGTAAAGTGCGCTGAGGGGGAGCGATTGGAATTTGTATCACGGCTGAAATATGTATAACTGATCTACATTCATATGTAGGCCACGTGACCAATGGCGTTTTAACTTTTGCATCAACATCATATTTTAAATTTATTATTTTTATAGGTAAAACTAAGTAATATTTACTAACTTTTCATACTCATGAAGTTAAAACAATACTGTTTAGACAAAACTATGTCAGAACTAAAAAAAAATGATAAGTGGAGACGCCCAAGAATTTTACAGTATTTTTGAGACGGTTAGACGAACTGCCAATTGGAAAAGAGCGCTGCTATATTTTCTCCACCCACAGCAAATTATGTCGGCCATTTTCATATCTGCTAGAGTTGCAAGACTATCGATGGTGGCACCATCGTTCCTAGAAAGAATTTTTTAACTGCCAATAAATTCATATTTATTTTTGTACTTATGTATGTACATTCAGAAACACATTCACATGTACACCTATGCCCAAAATATTAGAAACACGACATTTGACCAGTATTTACAATTTTTTTTCGTTAATTTTTTTGTATGCGGTTCATTAATTTTTTATAAATGTATAGCTCGTTTTATAACAAAGACCATATAAATCTGAATTTCAAACTATGTACGAAAATTTGAAAAATTTAAGAAAGCATCAAAATTTCAAACTTTTATAATCGGAATTTTTAGAATAACTTTTGGTATGCAGTTTTGTAGTCCATTATATTTTAGTATAACAAAGTGCAAGTTTGAAGTCGCTAAAAAATGGCGTAGATTTTTGATAATTTTTTTCTTTTCCTGGTGGTGTTGCGCACTTTCTCCCATATAAAACAGTTTCGAACATACTTTGTATGGAAGGAAATGCGTGACACTGTCAGCAAAAAAAAAATGCCAATATTCAAAGCCATTTTCAGCAGCTTCAAACTTGCACTTTATTATACTAATATAATAGACTATACCAAAAATTATTCTTAAAATTCTGATTATAAAAGTTTGAAATTTTGATGCTTTCTTGAATTTTTCAAGTTTTCGTACATAGTTTGAAATTTAGATTTATATGGTCTTTGTTATACAACGAGCTATGCATTTAAAAAAAACTATATACATATATATATATATACATATAAAAACTGGTAAAAATTTCGTGTTTCTAATATTTTAGGCATAGGTGTGTATAAACACTTAACAGAAAAGTTGAAAACAACGAACTTGTTTAACAATACGTATTTACGAGATCATCCATGAGTTTTTGTTTATAAAAAGGAGCATGCTTACATTTTTTTCCTTAAGTCTAGTATGCCTGTCGGATATTACGGCCCCAGCCTTGCTGAACATTCGTTCCGATTCGCTTGAAGTAGCTGGAATGCACAGGTACCTTAGTGCTAAAATTTGTAAATGTCGCATATCAGACGTTCTAGTCTGAAATAAAGACATATTGTTAATAACACATATAGACAATGCATTATCTGAAGTATTACCAACCTTCCAGAACTCCAATGGGTCTGAATTTAAAGGTTCATTGGGCTTTTCCGCATATTCACGTAAAGCGATAATAGAATCGGCTCTATTTGATTTGATTTTGCAGGAAAGTTTTTCTTTCATAAATTCGTAAATTTCAGGTACTTCCATACTTTTAGATGTTGACGGTTCCTGTATGTCGCCCCCCAATGTCGACACAGTAATTCTTTTCACCTCATCTAATTCATTTTCCAGTACAGCAAATGCTTGTGATACATTTTGAGCAGACCGAAAGCCTTCACTTTTAAACCTCGGGTCTAATAGGGTAGCCAGACTTGAAGCGCTTCTGTATTCGTAAATAAAAAGCCTCTGGTGAATTCTTTCGGCTAAGTACGTACATGTGTATAATCCCACAGCTGTTTTCAATTTGAATTTCGACTTCAACATCGTGCAAACTAAACCCCAGACTAGAGGAATTATATGCGTTGAATGGTCCCAATAATAAACACAAATCTTCAAGTTGCTCTACCTCGTCTGCTGTAAAAACCTGTGGTGCTTTTGGTGTGCTTAAAAGTACTGAAAAGATAGCATCTTTGATGACTAAAATTCGTTGCATCATAGCAAACGCGCTATTCGACCTTGTAGGCACTTCCTGAATAAGACTATACTGTTTTCCATCCCCCTGCTCCTTCCTTAATCTAGCATAAGCAATAGTGCTGCTTTTTAGGTAGGCCACTATACGTTTGCATTTTGTTAGAATTACTTTGACCTTTTCCGTCGACAAAGCATCTTGCACTACAAGATTGATGGAATGTGCAAACCTGGGTAAATTTTGTTTCTCAAGAAGTTCGCAAGCCTTAAGCATTGAAGCAGCGTTGTCTGTAACCACGTAGTTAACTTTTTCAAGTATATTCCATTTGTTTAGGCACTTACGCAGTGATTGTGAAATATTTTCAGCTGAGTGATTCAGTTCATTTGCAAGCTTCGATGTCCCTAAAACGGGAAAATTTTAGTAGACGGACGGCAAATTCTAGAAAAAGGGGGCGATGAGGGGGGTAGAATAGGTCCCCCTGATCTCAAAAATACCCCCCTTTTTTCTAGCAACCCTATAGTTCTTATATAATTTATTGTTAAAGTTTTCATATAAACGAAGAATATGATAGCAAAATAACATACAACTTGGTGCTACCAGTCTGGAATTTGGTATAATAAAAGCGGATTTTTAATTCGGAATTTTCACTTATTAGAATTCCCCTTTCTGTTTTGCGAAGAAAAGGAGCTGAACACCGTTTGCAGAGAACACCTTTCTGCGTAGGCGGCCTTCGGCCGCACTTAGGGATTATAACCCACAGGCAGTAGAATTCTCCCTTCTGTTTTGCGAGGAAAAGGAGCTGAGCACCGTTTGCAGAGAACACCTTTCTGCGTAGGCAGCCTTCGGCCGCACTTAGGGATTATAACCCTCAGGCAGTAGAATTCTCCTTTCTGTTTTGCGAAGAAAAGGAGCTGAACACCGTTTGCAGAGAACACCTTTCTGCGTAGGCGGCCTTCGGCCGCACTTAGGGATTATAACCCTCATTCAGTAGAATTCTCCTTTATGTTTTGCGAAGAAAAGGAGCTGAATACCTTTTGCAGAGAACACCTTTCTGCGTAAGCGGCCTTCGACCGAACTTAAAGCAAACAAATCGATCGGGACCAACACCGCCTACGTCATGGGCAATATTTTTGCACAGGGATTCGTGACCGGAAACCCTCATTGATAATAATACACGCCCAGAATAAAAGTAGCGGTAAATTTTCATTTTCTTTTGTATTGATTTCCCCTGTATTCCTTTTTAAACATTGCCTTCTTTGTATGATTTTGTACAATGTGGCAACACATGTTATGTGTCAGTTTGCAACCATGTGTTATTGTAAATATGGGTACCATTCAATGTAATTTACAAGTCGACAAAAGTTGAATTAAAGTGATTTATATACAAGATAAAATAAAATAAAAGTGTGTAAAGTACTAAGTACAGTGTTAAGTACATTTATATATATGAAAATATGTGACAAATGCACTTTTTGTTAAGGAAACCAAGTGGAACGACTTAAGAAATTTTAACAACAAATAACTTATAAACAATGATATTGTTTATATTTTTTAGTCATACATGTTTTAGAGGATACCTCCATTAACTTCCTGACCAAGTTTCATTTGTTAATTCCACCTTGTTTTCTTAAAACACAAGGTGCGGCTGACTACTAAAGCCCACCCCCCTAAAACAACCGATCGCAATTTAAATTCGCTGTCTACGAAATGGCACGTAACGGTGATTGAGCTTTCATTCGCCTTTGATGACCATCCATCGTAGTTATAGCACAGCTATCGATATTATTAAGGTTAGCTTGCAATTTTTTCTCCAAATCATCAAATATTTTCTGCAAATGAACATTTTGAATAGTAGGTCGGGATGGCAATTTATACCGTGGGTCCAGGCACTGCACGAACTCCCTAAACCCCTTGTCTTCGACTATACGAAACGGTTGTATATCCGAAGCAATCATTCTTGCGAGAGCTGAATCCAGATTTTGCTTTCATACTTGGAATTGGATTTTTTTGGAAATGACTCTTACAGCCAGTTTCACCAAACTATTTAAGTGGAAATTAACTTTAATTTAATTTTGTATTTAATTCTCATTTAAATAATTTTCAGTTTCAATAAACTATTTATTTAAGTGAGTAAAAAGTGGTTGTAAAACAGACTAGGACTAGCTTTCGCTTTCATTTGTACTGAGAGCTTTTGAAAGCTTTGGCACGCTGTGTTGTAAAAGCAGGGCTGGTATACAAGTAAGCAGCAGATGCACAATGATCAGGTGATTAAACGTGTAACACCTCTGAGTGTGGTTATTCTGATTTAACTTTTATCTAAGTGCAGAGCATAGGTCACTTAAATCAAAATTAAAATTGATTGGTGAAACCGAAAATTCGAAAATTAAAGTTCATTTCCACTTAAATAGTTTGGTGAAACTGGCTGTTATAGTGTGGGGTCAGACTTTGTGGGTTCAATAAGCAAAGGGTGCGACCGCTTAAGATGATCCAAGAGGTTCTTGTGTTTCCGCTCGTTTTGTACATTTTTTTACACGACAAACATTTGGCGTTCTTTTTGCCAGAGTGCAGCTTAATATGTTTCCAAACATTTGAATTGCCCTTTCGTCGCTTTTTCCCCAACAAGAATTTCTGTAAGTATTTTTAATAATATATTAAGGGTACTGGGCAAGCTGTGCAATTTAAAACCCTCGCAAATGAAATGTAAAATTTTTTATGGAAAGCCATTTGCACAAAAAGGCAAAGGGTGCAAATTTACGCAGTGTACTGTGCAATCCTCAATCAACTATTTTGTTTACTTTCATTTTGATTTGTGCTCAAGGCTTTTTCGTAGGACTTAAATATTTACTTAAATACATTTTAAATTAAGCATTGTCAAATAATTAAATGTCTGAAAGAGCACAAAATGTAAAATTCTCCTCATGATACACACTGCACAAAGTTGCCCAATTGCCCAAATATGAAACTTGCGCGCATAGATGAATACCCTTATTGTAATAAGCCTGTTCAAATTTTTATCGTATAAAGTTCTTTTGCTTTACGCGTTGCTTTCCGAGAAATATATATAACATTCAAAAGACATACCTTCTGAATTATCATCGTCAATATCCATTTTTAAACAAAACAGGAACCGCCAATTATTTAGTCTACAAATGTATAATTTAAACAATTTGTACATATCTACATAAATACAAAAAACTTGTAAAACTTACCAATAGCTGATGGTCTGAATTCACAATCTGAAATAGAAATGTGCAACATTTCTGCTGGAGTTGTAAAACTACCGATAGTGCATAAAACCATCGATAGTTTTTGATAGTTTTGAAAAAACTATCGGTTGTCTTCGATAGTCTCCAAAAAAATAAACTATCGATAGTTTTGCAACTCTAATATCTGCCCTCGAAGTAAGAATAAATATTCCAGAAGGACATGTGTGAGTTATGGGAGACTTACTGGCAAAACGCGTATGAGGAATGCCTGCACATTTTGTGTAAGTGAGTAAAATTTTCCTAATTTTAGTGGCATCTAATTAATTTATTTTTTAATGGAATTTTGCTTTTGGTTTTTTAGGTGAAATGTTGTAATGCTTTGTTACGATGAAAAATAGTTTGTTCATTGTTTTCAATATATAAATAATTAATTTATTTTTGAATGAAATGTCGCTTTTGGGTTTTTAGGTGAAATGTTGTAATGCTTTGTTACGATGAAAAATAGATTGTTCATTGTTTTCAATATATAAATATATTTATTCAATTAATTGTATGCCTATTCTCAAAAACACTAAAAACTGGATGCAGTTTGTTTCTTTTGGTTCTTTTTTTTAAATTAAAAATATTTTGTCTCAAAATCTATTCCATGCGATTTACAAACGTTCCAAGCATATATTTGTGCTATATTATCTTTTATATTCTCATAATTATTTGTCCTATTTCAAAACAAAAATGGTCTACGATCGTAGACCACGTGACCATCGAAGGGTTAAACAACGCTTTTTTGCAGTATGGAAGGAAGGCGAAATGAGTCTCTTGCTGGATAGTACGCTTCCTATTTGCCGGACATTGTGTCCTTCAAGCAGTTAAAGACGAAGAAGGAAATGTGGATGAAGATTGGCGCTGAGTTCGACGGGAAAAGTTGGAAGCAGTGTGAAGAAAGGTATAAGACCATCATGAAACGGAAAAGGCGGCAGTGGAAAATAACAGCAGCTCAGGTGCAAAACGCCAAAAGCTGCAGTTTGAAGAAGAACTAGAAAAAAATATGCAAACTGTATGATTCCATTGAGCCGGCAATAAAACTGTGTAGCCAATGTATAGTTAAAAAAGAGGTCTCACCAAAAGAAAAGCAAAGAAAGAAAAAAACGATGCAAGAAACTCTAATTGAAATTGCTGCTAGAAAAGAGGAAGCCAGGGAGAAGCGGCAGAAGGAAAGAATGGAGAAAGCTACTGTTAGATTATGTACTATAATAATGCAACCCTGATTCACTTCATATTTCTTGCATTTTTGCTTTATACATTATTCTGCCATTTTCTTCTATTGTACGTATTATACATACTTGTTTTTTCTTGAATAAATCGTGAACTGTCTACGCTAAACAACGTGTTTTTGCTTATAATAGTTAACAGGGTTATGGGCCCAGCGTGTGTCGCTAATTGTTTCAAATAAAGTTCTATGTGAAAAAAAATAAAACTACTAAGCACATATTTTTTTCGTAAACCAAAATGAACGGAATCAGCATCGAGAAGCTAGATGTCGAGAATTATTCAACCTGGTGTGTCCAGATGAAAAGTTTTTTGATTACGCTGGATTGTTGGTATCCTGTGGAAACAATATGTTTGGAAGACTGGACTGCTCTAGAAAAGGCTACTTTCGCTAAAGCAGACAGAAAGGCATTGGCGTTAATCACCTTAAATGTTAAAGGTTCTGAGCTACTACATATTAAAGATTGCCTACATTCAAAGTAAGCGTGGGAAAAGTTAGACGAAATTTATAATGCAAGAGGACCAGCAAAAAAGGTTTCATTGTTTAAAAAACTTGGTTCGTTTTCAAATTAAACGCAGCGAGAAGTGTGGTCCTCAAATTAACAAATTTTGTTCAATTGTGGAAAGTCTTCGGGAACTGCAAATTTCAATACCGGATGATCTTCTGTCCATTTTATTGCTGTGTTCGCTACCTGAGGAGATGGAAAATTTTGTAGTTGCGATCGAGGCAACAGATGAGTTGCCAACACTGGTACAACTGAAATGCAAGCTACAGGAAGAAGAGCATCGCCGGGCTTCGAACAATGTAGGAGAAAATAAAGTAAATCGCGAGGATGAGCGCGTGCTTTCTATTAATTCCACGAGACGTAAGTCAAATAAAGGTCATGAGAAACGTAGGTGTTATATATGCGGTGCACCAAGAATGATAGAATACAAGATTGCGCCGTCCCGGCCGTTGACATTTGTGTACCACAAGTAAACAAAGAATAGAGACAAAAGTAGAACGAGTTGAAACTGTCAAAACAGTTCACTTTACAGCGAAAAACGTGTTTTAATTTTGATCAATGCGAAAATATTGCATTTTTCATCTAATCTATTGGAGAATAGTGAACGTTTTAGTGCACTCCATGCTTTGCAATTAAGGCTGCTGCAGCAAACGTTTTAGTGTACTCCATTGCATAATGAGATGGGGTACCATGGTGCACTTCATGTAAGGACAACAGCGCATGCATATGAAGCTGGTATCCAAATTGAATGGCTTATCTTGCCTGTAGAATTCCACCCACTTTCTCGCCACGGCATCGTTGCGAGGAAAGGAAAAAAGCTGCATTTCGAGGCACTACCTTCACGGCTGTCGCAATTTAATACACGGCACTTCATTTTATCAGTTTTTACACACTCTTCAACTGAAAAATCACTAACAAATTGCAAATTAACACGATTTAAACCGATTTTTCACTAATAATTCAAATTTCTCTATGCCACTGATTTGTAAACAAAAGTTTATTTACGAGTTACCACAACTGTCAAAATCGGCAAAACCAAAGTAGCGGTACCTCTGACGGCGCCACCTTTGTTTCGCTACACCGTGGCGGTGCACATGGTCATATAAGCACGCAGTGCAAGAACAAAAACAAACGCAGAGAGCACTCAAGTAATGCAGTATTGGGGATAAGCAGCGAAATATATGATAAAAGAAATGAATTCATTCTCGATAGCGGTGCATCTAGTCACATGTGTTGTGAGAAACAATTTTTCGTTGAGTTAACAGAATGCGATGATGACGTTATGCTGGCGTCTGGTGATAAAGTGAGAGTTCATGCTATTGGTAATGTAAAGCTAAAATCAGAGTTTTCTGACATTACTTTAATAGATGTGTTTTATGTTCCACAATTACACTCCAATTTTTTATCTGTTGCAAAAATTGTTGAGAGAGGTAATAAAGTTGTGTTTATGAGTGGAAGAGCTGTTGTCAAAAATAAGTTTAATGATATTTTATTTAATGCTCCTTTGCAAAATAGTATATACAAAGCTAAATTGTCCAAACATATAGAGAATTTCGCTATGCAAATTGGTGACAGTTCAAGCGAAAAAGTCAGAATTTGGCATCAAAGGTTCGGCCATTTAAACTGCGGTGATATATTTAAACTTTTTAACGAGAACATGGTCAAAGGCAAGGAGAAGATGAATAAAACTGAGTGCTTTAATTGTGAGATTTGTGCTACTTGCAAAATAAAGAAAACGAGTTTTTCCAGCTACAAAAGAGTTCTGTCAAAGCAGCCCTTAGAAATTATTCATACTGACCTATGTGGGCCGATGAGGGTTAAATCTCAAAGTGGCTCTCTATATTTTATGTCTTTAATAGCCGACTACACGAGATATGCTCATGTTTATTTTTTGAAGCACAAGTCAGAGGCACTTGAATGTTTAAAAGATTTCGTAGCGAAAGCTGAAAATCAAACTGGAAAAAGGTTAAAGACTCTTAGGAGTGACAACGGCCGAGAATACGTGAATGAAGATATGAGACAATATTTGAGTCTAAAAGGTATAATTCACCAAACCACAAGCCCATATACGCCGGAGCAAAACGGCATAGTTTTAATAGGACTATTGTTGAAATGGCGCGCTGTATGNTGAGACAATATTTGAGTCTAAAAGGTATAATTCACCAAACCACAAGCCCATATACGCCGGAGCAAAACGGCATAGTTTTAATAGGACTATTGTTGAAATGGCGCGCTGTATGTTACAGCAATCGATGTTACCTCATAATTTGTGGTCTGAAGCGGTCAACACTGCTGTTTATGTAAGAAATCGATCTCCTTCAAAAGTTTTGAAAAATACTACTCCATTTGAGTCTTGGTTAGGTCGAAAGCCGTACGTTGGCGACATGAAGGCGTTTGGTTGCGATGCGGTCGTTCTAAATAAAAAACCTGGTAAATCCAAATTTGAACGAAAAGGTGATATTGTTAAATTTGTAGGGTATGCACGAGACTGCAAAGCGTATAGGTTCTATGATGCTGCCAACAAATCAATTATCGTGGCAAGAGATGCTATATTTTTTGAGAAAATGTTTACAACTAGTCCTGAATCAAATCAAACTGACGAAGAACCACATAATAATACATTTCCATTATTGTATGAGCAAGTCACGACCACTATAAGTGAGGGTCAAGCTTGTAATGGTCAAAACTGTGAAAGTGAGCCTAATACCGTAGAGCAAAATGAATATGAGAATAGTAATAAAGATTCTGATCCAGAGCAGATAGTAAACCCTCAAGGACGTGTTAAAAGATGGAGGCCTAAAATTTTGAGAAGTGGTACTGTTGGAAGGCCGCGGAAAATTTTCGCAATTGAAATGATGACGCTAAGGAACAATAACACTTGGGAGTTAGTAGAAAAACCACCGCAAAAAAAATATTATTGGTTGCAAATGGGTATTTGCAACAAAGAGAAGACCTGACGGTAGTATCGAAAAATATAAAGCGCGGCTTGTTGCCCAAGGCTGTTCCCAGCGTGAAAATATTGACTATTTTGATACATATTCACCCGTAGTAAGACACGCTACTATTCGACTTATATTGGCCATTTCAGTCAAATATCAACTTCTGGTACACCACTTTGATATAGCGTCACC